TCGAAATCAAGTTCTTTATATACATGTTCATTTACATATTAGCCCGAATTGCGCGATTCCGCTCGGTTTGGGCGATTTCGCTCAGATTGCGCGATTTCGCTCACTTTGTACCTGGGCGATTCCGCACGTTTTGAGCGATTCCGCCTGTTCCGGGAGAATTGTCATTAATCTCTACTAAATAAAATCAAATAAATATGAATGTGTTACGGATTGATTAATAATAATAATACGCGAAACGTAATACGAATTCAGATGATAATAAATAATTATACACGTCATTGATAAATAAAAATAAAAATAAATAATAGATTAAATAAAAATAAAAATAAAAATAGAAATAAAATTTAATTTGACCCGAAATTAAAGGATTCGGCCAAATTATCGTCGTCATCATCTGATCCTGGTAACAGATGCAAGGGACAAATTGATGAGTGATAAAGTCATGGAAGTGATTTTATTCTGAATATTTTATTTGTTGCCAATATATAATGGTTTTGGACAAGTAATATCTTTGTATTCATCTTTCACAAATGGACGAATATTATTATAGATAACAAAATATTTATGTCTTGTGGACAGATCTATATACTATTAGAACAACATGACATTGCCAGTTGAAATAAAATATATTAAAGATAATTTGTTGACTTATTAAAATGTAAATAATTTTAGCAGTAATTTATTTTTCAATTAATGTAATAATCTATTTAGCAAACAAATTTTCTAACTGATACAAATCATGCTCTTTCTTCATAATGTCTCCATCTATTTTTGAGTTCAAGAAAAATGGATAATGATCTATTTCATCTCTGCCAGCCCAATTAAAATTTATCAAATAAGTTTTTCTTATATTTTTATCATACAAAATGTTGCTTGGTTCAAGATTTCCAAAAACAAAATTATTCTCATGTAATATATTAATCATCTTGGATACTTGTTTTATAATAATTTGCTCATCTTGAGTATTCAAATCATCGTAATTGCACAAGGGTTTCCCTAAATTTAATTGCAATGAATAATAAGTCTAACCATATAATTACAAATTTCTACCACTTACCACTAACTTCCTCCATAATTACTATGATCCAACCATGTATAATTCCTTTACAGACTTCAAATAGTTGTGGTGAGCCACCATGATTTTCACAGGGTTTATGGACTTCCTCATTATAATGCTGGGTATACTTAATAATATAATTTCCATTTGTACTATTTGCTGAAAACACTAATGGACTTATATGTGCACTGTAGGTGAATGTTATACCAGGGTTGGCAAATTGACTGGTCCATTGAGAACAGATGGATTTTGGACTGGTCCATTGCAATTAATAAAATACTAAATATGGTCAAAGTGTTACATTAATGGACCCAATGGACCACCAATAGACCATCAATGGACTGCACATTTGCCAACCCTGTGTTATACCATTAAATGTATTACGATATGGAAAATAATGACTAGTGGTTGGTGAATCTACTCGCAAATTATTATAGTATTGTATGAGTTTTTTACAAGCATGACGAAGAGAAGAAAATGTGTGGGCAAAATGAAGAAGCTTATTAGAATCCAATGTAGGGACAAGATAGAGCATATCTGTAAGTGTCTCAACTTTAATTTTATTTGCCAAAACAATACCTAAACAAATTATAAATAGTAAGAAGATTGAATGAATCAAAAATAAATTCAAAAATATACAACAACTGCCCTTACCACACACACATAACCATGGACCAGCAGAACACAACAGAAAGGTAGGACAAACTGACATTTCTCTGATTTGATTGTATCCTTCAGGTTTACCACTCCAGTTCCCACACCAAAATTTCTCATAACAAATAGCTGACTGTAGAACAGGATCACAACTCCCTTGTGAGATTTCATTTTTTGTGTCTCTTAGAATAACAGGAATTTCCAAACTTATTCCATTAATTACACTTGTTCCCATTATGTAGCCATCATTTTTAGGAGAACCTGTTGGACCATCATTGAAGGTTTTGCCAAAAAGAAAATGATAAAAATCTGCAATAGCTGATTGCCTGATAAGCTCTATCTTGTAGAACTTAGACATTGTGTTAAGAAACTTAAGTGTTTCTACACAAAGAGTTTTGTCAACATAATCATCCTTTTCACAATCTCGCAAGAAGTCACTAAATATTGGATGATAGAGCACCACTGGCTCACCAACATATTTGGGAGGCCTTCCACACTGTATTTTAGCTATTTTTTGTTGTTCAGAAAACAATTGATGTCCAGCTGCAACTGATGGGCTACATAATTGGTCAACTTGTTGGAAAAGAACTTTTCGATTAGCCTTAATGTTGGTTACATCAAAAGGGAAGCTGTGTTTAATGAATGAACTTGATGAGATCACTAAAGGAAAAATTAAGTGTTACCAAAAAAGCAAACCAGATATAAGATAATATGGAAAGAAAAGTATAAGTCAACATTTCTCAAATATAAGCATTTATAATGAAGATTAATTATTTAATTGTATATGGAAAGTAAAAAAATTAGTTCAACCTTCTGTTGAAGATGTGTTGCCTAAGACTAGTGCCGTAATCCAAAAAAGGAAAAAATATGGTTGCAAAAGTGGTTGCAAAGGTAATTGCAACCAATTTTTATATGCCATAAATACAATTACTACCATAATCATAATTTATGGCACTAGTCTTTAGTGTCGCCTTCATCTGTTAGTTGTTGCAATTTTCTTTTAAGCTGATTAACATCTTTTTGCAAATCCAATATCTTTTCTTTTTGTTGTGTAACCTTGTTTAGAGAATAATGATTAAAAAAAATACTTAAATAATAACCATATTGGATCAATCCACAAATATTAATTTATTTGAAATAAATTGATATTAATGTACCTTTTTATGAAATTTATTTTCTTCAATATTTTCTTTATTTAATGATGATTTACTATGCAAATACAAGAAAGTCAAGGTTTTAGATCTCAAGTATAACCAGGAATGACCATTTTTCTTAATAACTAGAATGATGACAAGTGGCAGTAACCACCATTCTTATGATAAACATTAACAATAACACTTACCTGAATGAGTCTTTTATTTCAGTTCCTTGGGTTCTTCTTTGTTTTTGTTTTTGTTGTTTTGGCATTGTTTTATTAAAAAAAAAAGATGTGTTATTATTATAAACTAGAATGACAACAAGTGGCGGGCGATAACCACCACCACCATCCTTAAAACACTTACCTAGATCGTGTTGCTTCCGCAATATTATTTGAATCTTTTCTTTTTGGTAACATTTTGATTAAAAAAATTAAAAAAAAAAAGTTTGTGATATGATCAACACGTACAAATTAATTATTTATCCTATTACTATTGGTTGGGAGGACAGACGCGAATTGATTTTTTTTTTTTGGAAAACAATTTATTTTTGACAGAGTCCAAGGTGACAAAATGTGAGTGTTGTTGTTTGGTTTGGTTTGGGTCTCCTAAAGAAAACGTGTTAATGACAGAGACACTATTTTTTAATTTACTGGTTATTATAAATATTTTAATTGGAAATCAAAATGTGGAGCAGATCTTGCTGGGTAATAATGTTTGTATTCATGATATTTGAATATCAATCACATGAATGATATTCAGATATTGTCTGAACAATTCTGAATGAATATAAACACTACTGGGTAATTACAAGATTTTCATTGATAATATTTTGCTTTACGTAATCAATAATATAATTATAATTACAAGATGTCAAGGCAGCACACTGTTGAAAAAGAGACAATTCAAATATGCAATGTTTGATTACAGGAAAATGGCAGGCATTGAAGCATGCACACTACATTAAACACGTTACAGTCATCAGGAAATTTTTCTGACGTGGATTTACGTAATTATTACACTATTTACATAAGTTTATGGCAGGCCCGTAATATTATGCAAATAAGCATACAAAAATTATGCAATTATTACATCGAGTGTAATAGTGGACTGACATAATTACAAGTATCAACCATTATTGTAGAACCCAATTGTGATGAATTGATTGCCTGATTAGCTAATTCTTTGATTTTTAACTGTCTTTCATAATCTAATGTATTCTTTTCACTCAATTTTCTTGTAGTTCGGTGACAGTTTCCATAGCATGTCTATATTTTTTTTTCTTGATCAAACAAACAATCTCTCTCCCTGAATTTGACAAGAGCAGCCTGTGCTTCTGTTGGAATAACATTTATACCCTTACTCTTAATAATAGTTCCTTCTTTAATATTGGTTTGATTTTCTTTAGTATTATTATTGATATACAAAAACCTTTATTAACTGATGTACAAATGGAGAACCAACTTAATTGGTGTTTGGAGAAGCAATCATGGTCTATTAGAAAGTGGGAAATGTTATTTGGTCAGATGAATCTAGGTTTGCAGTTTTTAACAATGATGGTCCAAATCATGTCTGGAGAACTT